GCCTGCTTCTCCCTCTCCCACTCCCCCTGCTTGAGTTCACTCTCTCGCTGTGTCTCTCTCTGTTAAATAAATAAATAAAATCTTAAAAAAAAAAATTATACATTTTCAAATGAATGCTAAAAATAACTGGGGACTTATCCAAAGAGCTATTTGTTCTTATTTATAATTTTAATTTTTTCATTGAGAGATATAACTTAACTCACTTCTCTTAAGTATATGCCCAGAAGTAGAACTGCTAGGTCATAGGATATATGTGTTTAGGTTTAGCGGGTACTGCCAAACGTTTTTCTAAAGCACATATTTTTAAAACACTTGTATTTGAAGATATTCCCAAACTCTCAAAAAAGCTGCACAAGAATATTCTTTATCCATATTTACCAATTGTTAATCTTTTGTACTATATGCTTTACCATTTAATGCACCTCTCCCTGTATTTCTCCTAAACCATGTGAGAATAAGTTACATAGATCATAACCCTTCAGCCCTAAATGCTTCAGGGTGTATTTCACAAAAACAAGAAGATTCCCTTATATAATCAAAGCAGTTACCAGCATTATCAAATTTAATGCTGATATGCTCTTATCTAGCATACATTGACATTTGTGAAGAATACAACCTCCCCACCCCCACCACTATTTTTTAATGGACTGTTCCTAATGTTGGGTTTGCTATTTCTTCATGATGAGATTCAGCTCAGGCTGGAAAAGCACATAGTGACACACAGTGATACTGTGTCCTTCCAAGGGTTTCACATTCAGAGGTATATGATATTCCTGTGAACACCGGTGATGTCAATTCTGAATACCCTGGAGAACTTTCACTTCAGACTACGAGAAAGTATCAGGGTCTGGAATTATCCTACTACCATAGACAATGAAAAAAACAACAGACAAAATACTGAACATCAGGCAGCTCAAGATTGTGATCCTTAAGAGAAGGGAAACAAACAGTGTGAGTGCCATCCATTATGCAGGGTTTCTGGCTGCAGGCAATTTGTGAACTGCAATCCAGGGAGGGGTACCCAAACAGAGCCCAGAAATCATGCTGAACTGAGCTGAAAGAAACTGGAGTTTGATAGGCTGAGGCTGCTAAGATTTCTGGGACAGAGTACCTGAGAGGAGGGAGCTGTGCAAAGGAAGAACTCCAGAAATATGCACAGTCTCTTGGGTATTTGGCTGAATACCAACCTGTGCATGCTTAGGGTAAAACCCCAAGACACCAGGCAAGAACTTCAAGGAAATGAATGATTACTGGGGAGCTATTAACAGAATAATTCCCAGAGCTCATGCAGGACCCAAAATTGTTTGAGTTCCCACCATAGTGGAGAGACGTAGGTGAACTCATAGGATATTACTAGAAATCCCCGAAGAGCGGTGCTTTAGAAAAGGAATTAAATTAGTCTTAGAATAAAGTCCACTCTAGATTTGACACCAAAGAGCTTAATAAACACAAGTCTCAGAATAATCAAACCCAATTGCAGATATTAAAACAGCTATTATAAATATGCCTCATGTGATCACAGGTGCAAACAAAACCATAAACCTAAGAGGAAAGAAAAAGAAGATATAAAAGACCCCCAAATTAATTTGAGATGGAAAACACGATAGATGAAAATACTATTGAATGAGATTACCAGATTAGACACTGAAGAAAATACCAGTGAACTTGAAGACACAGCAACTTAAAATATAAAAAGTGAAGTATCTATATATTTTATGTAATACATAAAATTTTAGATTTAAATATTGTGTATTATATTCTAATTTAAATAAAACATAAAATATTAAATATAACATTACATTTTACATATTCCATTTATATATTTGAAATAGTTTATGTATACATAAAATCAAACATGTATATTTTACTTCTTTTTTCATAAAAAACAAAAGATAGGAATGCTATACAGTGTATACTCTTTAGTGACTTCTTTTAACTTAACACATACTTTGTTATTTTCAGGTTTCTTTTTTAAAATTATAGCCACCTTTGTGGGTGTAAAAAATGGTATCTCATTTTGGCTTTGAGTTCACATACCTTCTTCAACTTTTTACACTTTCTTTTTCAGAGCTGCACAACTCTTCTTTCTAGAAATCTGCCCATTTCATCTAGTTATCTAATTTGGTGGTGAAATCACAGTATTGTCTTAAAATCTTTTTTATTTTGGTAAGGTTGGTAGTAATACACTCACTTGTGTTTCTGATTTTAGTTATGTGAGTCCTCTCTTTTTATCAGTTTAGGTAAGAGGTTTGTTGATTTTGTTCATCTTTTCAAAGAATCAACTTTTGGTTTTGTTGATTTTGTATTTCTCTTGAATTTCTAGTCTCTATTTTATTTATCTCTCATCTTCCTTCTGCTAGCTTTTGGGTTTAGTTTGCTCTTCTTGTTCTAGTTCCTTAAGGTGTAAAGTCAGGTTATTGATTTGAGGTCATTTTTTAAAAAATCATGATAAAATACACATTAAGTTTACCATTTAACCATTTTTATAAAGATTTTTTTTTAAGCAAACTCTATGCCGAACGTAGGGCTCAAACTCACAACCCAGAGATCACGAGTCGCATGCATGCCCTACCGAATGAGCCAGCCAGGAGCTCCACTATTTAACCATTTTAAGGTGCACAGTTTCAGACGCATTAAGTACATTCACAGTGTTGTACAACTATCACCACTATCAACCTCCAGAATTTTTTCATTTTCTGGAACTGAAACTCTGTACCCATTTAACAATAATTCCCTATTGCCCTCTCCTTGGCAATCACCATTTTTTCTGACTCTATGAAATCTGACTATTCTAGGTAATTCATATAAGTGAAATCATACAGTGTTTGTCCTCTGGTGACCAGCTTATTTCACTTAGCATGTCTTCAAGGTTCATCCACATTGTAGCATGTGTCAGAATTTCTTTCCTATTTAAAGCTAAACAGTATTCCATTACATGTCTAAAACACATTTGGTTTATCTACCATTGGACACATGTGTTGCTTTCACCTTTAGGTGAAACATGGATGTATAAATATCTGTTCAAGTCACTGCTCTCAATTCTTCTGGATATATACCCAGAAACAGACTTGCTGGATCTTATGGTAATTCTACTTTTAATTCTTTGAGGAACTGCTATACTATTTTCCATAGCAGCTGCACTATTTTACATTCCCACCAGCAAAGTCCAAGGGTTCCAACTTCTTCACAGCCTCACCAACATTTCTTTTTTAATGTAGATGTTTCCTGCTATAGATTTCCCTCTGAGCACTGCTTTTGCCGCATCCCTCAATTCTGGTAGGCCGCTAAAGCTTTCATTCATCTCTAAGTATTTTTAAATTTCCCTTGTGATTTCTTCTTTGACATTACTGGTTAAGAGTGTGTTATTTAATTTCTACATATTTCCATTTTTCCATCTATAACTGATTTCCAGCTTCATTTTATTGTGGTTCAAGAAGATACTTTAGATGATTTCAAACCTTTAAAATTAAGACTTATTTTGTGGCCTAACATATGGTCTCTCCTGGAGAATGTTTCATGTGCATTTGAGAAGAATGTGTATTATGTTGTTATTGGGTGGAGTGTTCTATATACATCCGTAAGATCTAGGCAGTTTATAGTGTTGGTCAAATCCTGTATTTTCTTTTTTTTTTAAAGATTTTATTTATTTATTTGACAGAGAGAGAGATAGTGAGAGCAGGAACACAAGCAGGGGGAGTGGGAGAG